AAGAAAACTCTAGTCGATAGTGCTCGAGTAGATACTACCCCCAACCAAACTAACAAAAACGCACATTTAGTATGGTTCAAAATTTAAATTTCKATATATTTAAATATATAAATTATTTTTGTCTTTTTTTTTAATCGTTTAACAAGTAATTACTTTTTACTACTTTTAACTACATTTTATAATTTAGGCTTGAAATTAGTTTTGTTGCTTAATATTTATATTATTTATTTTCTAAGCATTTTTCTTCATTTTGCCAAAATAAAATCATTTAGGTATTATAATATATATTTTTAGATTTTTAAGTAAAAATAGCTGAAGCACAGTTCGATACCGCATGAAGCTTACATTGAATCATTTCTAGACACGTTCGTAAATTTAAAATATATTCCCGTACATACCCTAATGCGATTTAACACTATTTGTTGAACGTTATATTAATATTTATGGTGCTATTAAAACTAGAGGAATATGAAATATGTATATGCTCATATCTATTATAGCCACGCTGAGTGGGGCATGATAGGGTCGAAATTGCTTGAAAGCTACTCTATAGATTCTAGGAAATGCGAGGAATCGTAATAGTATTATATCTGCCATAGTTGTAGAGCTGGCAACAGAAATAAATAATTATATGCATTTATTATGGAGATAGTTTATAAGGAATATATGAATCAGTTAAAGACCCAATATACCTTTTTTTTTTTTTTTTTGAGACTGGGCATTAGGAAGGGAACATAGGCCTATTAATTTCTTCTTTAATTGTAAGCACTTAATAATATTATTGTGAAGGTAGTACCTAATGTTGTTTACCAGGAATAATTGTGATAAGCTCAAAGTTTTATCACTCGACTGATTGGCCTTGACAAATGCAAGATAAATGTGCCCCAAGCCGCCGAGGGAGACGCGTCTGGGCAAAGCAGAAGCTCGGATTTTCAGGGGCAATTTTAATGGCAATTTGCAGCATATATATGTAAATAACGAGTCTAGATTAGATATGCAAATGGAGGCAAATCACATAAAGAGCTGATAAACAGATGAACAAACGACTCAAGTGAATAACGACCTGCGAAATGGAACCATTGTAGTGCCAATTTATTATTATAAACGATTGCAACTTTTTCATTAAGAATTCCTCGAGATGGATCAGAGAGAGAGCATTAAGTTATTCTAAATGATCTTTTGTAGTTTGGAATTTACTGCGACGATGAGTGGAAATTATCGCTGGTCGGCACCATCAATAATCTGGGGCAATTCTTTGGCATACCTCTGGGAGGCGTTGTGGCTGATCGGTGAGAATGAAAACCACTAAATCAGGAAATTTTCCATGAACATTCGATTAATTTGTTTAATTTGCAGCTATGGCCGCAGCTTTTCCATTGCGCTGGGCGGCATTTTTGGGGCGGTGCTGGGCATTGTGCGCTCGTATTCGCCCAATTATGTTTGGTTTCTGATCTTTGAGTTCTTGGACAATCTGACCAGCAGCACGCTGTACTCTACGTGCTTCATCATCGGCATCGAGCTGGTCGGACCGAAGCGGCGCGTGCTCGCCTGCAGTGTGATCACCGTTTTCTATGCCGTGGGCGAGGTGGCGCTGGCCATGTTCGCCAAGGGCTTCCAGAACTGGCGCAATCTGCTGCGCATCACCTACGGGCCGTCGCTGATCCTGCTGGCCTACTTCTGGATACTGCCCGAGAGCGTGCGCTGGCTGCTCAGCGTCGGCAAGGAGGAGCGTGCGCGCGCCATCTTGCGTCGCGCGGCCAAGGTGAACAAGCGCAAGCTGTCGGAGAGTGTGCTGGACAAGCTGGTGATAGCCAACAAGGACAAGCTGCAGCAGTCGGAGGAGAGCAAGTTTCCCATTCGCGAGGCTTTCCGCAACTTCAAATGGCGCATCGCCAACTGCTCGCTCTGCTGGATTGTCAATGTGCTGGTCTACTATGGGCTGAGCCTGAATGTTGTGCTCCTGGATGGCGATAAGTATAATAACTTTGCGTACATTGCGCTTGTGGAGATTCCGGGCTTCTTCATGCCGCTGCTCATCATGGATCGCTTTGGCAGACGCTACTCGCTGTGCGGCCTAATGATCTTCAGTGGCATCTGCTGCATCGGCACCATTTTCGCTGGAGGCGATCAGCAGACACTGCAGTTGGTGCTGTTCCTGGTGGGCAAGCTGACCATCACGGCCAGCTTCCAGGTGCTCTACTTCTTTGCCTCTGAGATCTTTCCCACCAACCTGAGGAACAGCCTGCTCAGCTTCTGCTCCATGATGGGCAGATTTGGCTCCATGCTGGCCCCGCAGACGCCGCTGCTGGTATGTCAAGGCAGAGCTCACATTTCTCAAATTCAATTTCAACTCAATTTCTGTTTTGTGATTTAGGCCAAGTATTATGCAAACGCTCCCGCCATTCTCTTTGCCTGCGCCGCCATCTTCAGTGGCTGCCTCACGCTCTTCTTCCCCGAGACCACGAACCTTGTGCTGCCCACCACGGTCAAGGAGGCGCACGCCATCGGTGTCAAGAAACCGCCAAAGGATCAGAACATCAACCAGCCCGCATAACAGCCCTACTCTAGTCTATAAGCACTTCATAGTTCTAAGCCAACCACGAGACAGTTCAAAGACAACTTTGCATTATATATCATATGTACCTATATATACTTATTGACAATATATATCTATATCTCTACTTTAGCATCCATTTTCAGATTGGAAAGTTATGTTTAAATATATGTATATAGTGGAACACTTACTTCAAAATATTTTGATTTGTTTACCATTTACGTAAAAAAAAAAATTATTATGATTTTAATATGCAATGCAAGTATTTTATAAAAATATTATTGAAACATATAGTCTTGTATATTTCAAATATATTTTGTACTAAACAATTTTCAACACATAAATGCAAAAGAGAATATTAATTCAATTTCATTAAATAAAGTTTTAATGAAACTTTATTTATTTGAACTATATATTTATATATTCAACTTATAACTAAAAAAAAAAAAAATGCTTATTATAACTGGTAGGATAACTGGTTCATAATGGCACACAGATCGGAATGATATATACGGCAGTTCTCAATGTGACTTTAATAGTCAACTAGAACATTTCAAGTTTCCACTGTGAGTTAGCCTAGCTGACTTAGCTGTGCAAATAAATAATATTAGAATAATACTTTAATGACGGAGGAACTGACTGCTTGCAAGCATAATTTGAAATTGTGTTTAAGTATTGTATTTCTTAGTTGCTCTGCGTAAAGAACTTGGTAATCGAATGATTAGCCGAGGTAGAGTTTAAGGTACTATTTAGCTTCTTGTTGGCAGGCGGCGGCGTTGACTTTTTGTTCGTTGCGGTGATTATCGTGCGCACCTCCAGTTGATTGAGTTCGCGTTGTAGCTTTTTGGCCATATGGAAATCCAAATGTTCCGGCATATCCACGGATTTGACATATGTTTTGCATTCAGCACAGAGCTCCATGGGCGCATTGCTGCAGCTGGGAGGTGGCTCCAGTGGTTGCTTGGGTGCCAAGAACTTCGTAATGCTATTGACAGGCTTAGGAGTTGTTGTTGGTGCTGCTGTTGCTCCGCTAGCCTTTTTAGCTTTCTTTGCAGGCACAGGCTTTGCTGGGGGTGAGGCAGCTGTTGTCTTTGTGGCATTCAATCGACTACGCTGCGCTTCCTCGCGCTGCTCCGAGCGCAGCTGTCGATTCAGCTGCTGGGCAAAGTGATGATCGCGATGGGTTTGCAGTGCTTTCACATCGTCGGGTATTTGGGCGCCACACTCCTCGCACTTGACAAAGCTGATCAGACCTGGGCGCAGCTCGGGCCGTGCGTACTCCACGTACGTGTTCGTAAAGTCTGTTAAAGTCGCTGTTTCACTGGCATTTTGCTGCTCCAATTTACGTTTTGATGTGGAGGGCTGTTCAGGTGACGGCAGAGCCACAACTTCTTGTTGTGGATTATAATTGTTTGACTGCTCTGGTGGCACAGATTCATATGTTTGCTGTGGCTCATTATTGGTTGATTCAATGTCATCCAGTTCTGCAGCCAAGTCTTGCATTTCAGACGAATTGTCGGCCTTAGACGTGTTCTCATTTGATTGCTCCGCATCTTTCTTGACTTCTCTTTGCTGCTTCAGATACTTGACAAAAAAGCTCTCTCGAAATTCAGGAGGCGTCGAAGTAGGCGTTGCCTTGTCGTCGCTGGAATCCTTTGGAACAGACTCATCCATCATTTTCTTTTTAAATGACTCAAAAAAACTCTTCTTTCGTGCTTCTGATGCATTGAGAGGCGTGGCTGTCTCCTCTGCCAGCTTATCGCTTTTAGTTTCCTCTTTCGGCAATCCCTCTTCCGAGGGCATTTTATCCACTTTATCCGTTCCATTATGTTCCTCTTTGCGCGCTTGCAAGTAATTCGCAAAGAAGCTTTTCATTTTACCCCCCTCGGTTTGCTTCGGCTTCGTTTGCTCCACAACTACAACTGGCTTTTCCACGCCCTCCTCCACACTGATGCGACGTTTCTTGGCAGCCTGATTGGCAAACATAGTCTGCAGGCTGTTCTGCGCACTGGATGCCGATTCGAACTTGCCCACACTGATGCCCAGAAATTTGATGGCATTGTTGAGGGCAGCTTCGCTGCCAGGACGCAAAAACGTCTTTGTATTGGTCTTGATCAGCTCCAGAGACTGCTTGACGAGCGTCTCCTGATCGCATTGATTGAGTGGCATGGAACGGGAACTGGCCACCTCTTGGCCATCGATGTCCTGCACATACTGCACAACCATTTGCTTTGCCTTGCGGTTGTTTTCTATGAAATCCTTCTCCAGGCGATCGTTTATTTCGCTCGCTAGCTCCCCCAGCCAGTGCTGCAGTGTCTTCAGGCCAGTTATATTATTGCGACCAGGGAATTTTTTGCAGCAGCCAATGCTTTTGGAGTAAAAACGTGGCGTCACTGCCTCCAGATCAATACCACGGGCTATGTTATGCAACCAGGTGCTGTGGGGAATGGAAAGTTAGTTAATCAAGAGGAATGTAGATAGGGGAGTTTTTCCTCAGCTCACCCACTCTTCTCGTCCAACTTGCGCTGCAAGTCCTTCTCGCTGTATTTGAGCACCTGGCCCAAGAACTTAACGCCGAGTGTTTCGCACACTGTTTCTCCGAATTTGCCGCCCATTCCCTTGATTTTACCTACCGGCAGCTGGTCGAAGAGCGGCGGTATCTGCGCCAGCGGCAGTATTGTCTGTTTATTCGGCTTGTTCATGCCCGCCGCCAGCTTCGCAAGTATTTTATTATGCGCAATGCCTGCCGAGCATTCGTAGCCCGTTTCTGCCTTGACTGCGGCACGCACTTCACCCGCAATGCAGGCGCCAATCAATAGACGCAAATCGCTTTGACGCACTGCCGGAAGGTCGTTGGGATCATAGGCAAGCACATAGCGTTCATCATCCACATAGGGATTGGCAAAGCGATTGGTGATCTTATTCACATATTCGCCAATATTATCATAACCAACGGCATGGCAATTGACCAGCTCTTCGGGCTTCAGTGCAAAGGAGCCCTGCAAAGATATTCCATGAGATTAAAATAAATATTTACTACATCCAATTCTCACCGTTTGCAGCTGCTCAACACGTTGATTAACTGTCTCTGTTATGTCCAGGTAGGCCTCATCGACAGATGCGCGCTCCAGCAGCTGGGTGAAGCGTTGCAGCACATTTGCCACCTCTTTGCCGGCATCTCGATATTTACTCGTATCTGCCTTTTCCCTTATGTTGGGCACCTTGCACAGGATGATGTCGTGACACAGCTCCTTGGCCTCATCGCCTCGCATATGCCGTGTCACACCCTTTGCACGCGCCGCATAGTTTACAGCTATGATGCCGCCTCCGCGCCAAGGATTGTATTGCACCACAGCTAGCGGCTTGCCTTGATACTCGGGATGCTGTTTCTCCTCTACTTGGCAGAAAAAGCAGTCCATGTCCACCAACAAGACCACACGGTCATATTTGTTTTGCATGCCCACAAAGGCACGCGTGGAGTTACTCATAATCTATAGTCTTCAATATTTTCTTTCCATCACTTTTGTGAAATTGCGACTTTGATTTTGAAAGCAACAAGCGGTCGGCATCAGCTGAGCGGGCGTGCGAGCGGGACAAGCATATAGCACCGTAGCGTGCTTCAGTGCTGCCATCTGGCGCGTTCATCCGAACAGCTGTCTTCTTAGCATTCACTTCAGCTGCCCAAGTGGCAACGCTATCGAAAAATGTAAACAGGCGAATTAGTTTTATCCAATTATGTTTTGCCAATGAAAACTTTAAGTAAACAAATAAAAATGTGTAATAGTGCAATGAAAATGGTTTAAAATGTTTCTAAATTCAGTATAAATCAACTGAATAAAGAGGCATAAGGCGTGTAGCCAATCGACGCTATTCCGCTACTTTTTGAATGTACGAGCTCAATTGTTTGAATAATTAATGAAGTGGAATAAGTATTAAAATTAAAGTGTGTTTAAATTTTGTTGCTGTTAATAAGACTATTATTTGATTCTTAAATATTTATGGGTGAATATTTTTAGCTCCGGCTTATTATATAAAATTTTTGGCAAACCGCAGAGCTATTGATTTTTTTCGAAATACCGCTTGCCAAATGCAGCGCATATACAATACACACACATATACACGCCCACTCCTATACACACACACTCACACGCATGTACAGATTTACTCATTTAGCTTAATGCAAACGCATTGGAGATAATTATCAGAGCAATTATTGATCGGCATTTGACCTGCGAGAGCCCGGCACTGCGTGTGGTCAAAAATAGAATATTTCGTGTCGTGTTTGAATCTATTTCCGGTGTATATTTCGAGTCATGGGTGCGTCATATTCGAAAGTTTCGTTCCTTGTCTTCCCCTTGATTTACCTCTGGTTATAATATATATATTTTGATATATGTGTGTCCAACTATGGCTTAATTAGGTAAGCGCACGTAGAAACTACCCTGCCTCAGTCAAGTGGCATTTATATTTATTGCTTGACCAAATACTGTGACTTGGCTCGATGGGTGGGTTGGCTAGTGGGTCGGGTATGCGTGGCCAGGTATTGTGTGTGTATAATTGTGACCTAATTTCGCATTATTAATGGATAAAGAGAAGGAATGTTAAAAGGAAGTGGCAGGTGCAGCACTGACCTGTTGTAATATCTCATGTCGTGCCCATCAAAAATCACTTATGAATTCGTGTCAGTTGTTAACTGTTGTTTAAGGGAGCAGCAAGTTCTATTTATAAATAGTATGGTATTCAGAACTAGGACATTGATAGAAACTGAAAACATAGAAGAATAAAGTTGAAATAATAGTTTAATAATTTAATAGATTTAATAGATGCAAAAACGCTTATTTTAGGGACTTAAGGACTTTAAATTTCTGTTTCAATGGCAAATATTTTAGTCTTTAAAATAATTACAAACTTTTTGTAAATTAAATTAATTTGAGGAAATACTCTAAATACTTCATCACTTAAAATTATATAAATAAAAATAAAA